ATCTGCTGAGCTGCCTCACGTTGATGCTTAACTGCCTCAGTGTTCAATGGGCATTTTCTTCCTAAAAAAGCCCCCCGTGTCATTGATCCCATGTTATAACCTTGTGAAAGACTAGTTATTGCTTTTCATCCTACCCTTGTTTTAGATGATAATTCTGTGGAAGACACTTCTGTACATTTATTTTTGTTATCCTAATAATAAAGCTAATTAGATGTCTGTTACTGAATTGTAAAAACANGCCCACTGCCGCCTTCCTCAGCCCTGAGTGTTCCATAACTGATTAAACCCGGCCTCAGGCAGGTTGGGTGACCTTTAAAGTCCCCACTGTCACCAGGATCTGCCATGCACTCAACCTTGATCCCCCTTTCTGTTTTGGCCTCCAGTCGAGCACCTCATTCCCAGGTTTTACAGCATAACCTTTTCTCTCTCTCTGGTCTAGCCACTCTTTGATCCTGTTTTTGTGTGTTTATTGTTTCTTAAAAGTTTTTGATGAATTATATTGATTCATTTGAGGAGTCATCTCAAATTCTATCTGGAATCAGGTGGAGCAAAAATGAACTGAGGAAGGAAGCAGAGGAGAGAACAGGAGGGAGGGCGGGAGGTGGGTGAGCACCAGGCACCTGTAAGATTCTGGGATGCAGAGGTGAGTCCTGCCTTCCCAGGAACTCCTAGTAGGTTTATCCTCCTGGGGGGACTTTTGAGCAGCCACTGCTATGCCCGCTTTTTCTGCACCCTGTGGAGGGCGGGTTCCTCCCTGGAGGCCGGGTCTGGGCTGGTTCCCAGGAGGACACAGCTGGCTCAGCTTCCTGGTCCGACGCCTCTCCCTGGAGATCGCTGCCCCCCTTCCGCAGGCCCTTGGCAGGCTGGCCCTAGCCTCGGGCAGACATCGTCCTGTGCGCTGTGGGCAGGCGTGCGTGCTTACCGTGGGGCCGGGCACACCTGCCTGCTGCTCCTGGCTGTGGTCCTGGAGACTCCCACACTCAGCTCCTGCTGCCTCCCTCATGCCAGAGCCTGGCTGCTGTTAGCATGGAGAGGGGGGCCTTTGACTCACAGCAGGGGAAGGGGCAATGCAGGATGGACTGCTGCCTTTGGAAGGGAGGAGTAGACCCGGCCACACAGCCCCCGCCTGGCACAGTAAGTTCCCGGCTCGTGTGGCCTCCTGGCTGGGTGGGCACTGGGCCCTTTGTTTCTGGCAGACCTCCTGTGTCAGTTCTTGGGAAGTCTGTTTTGTGAGAAGAGAAAGGGGTGCAGCAGACTTTGTTGTGAACGCTCACATTTCTGTCCCCTCCCCGGTCCCCACTTGTTGTCTTTCTGGGATTCCTCATTCCATATGGTATGACCAGCCAGTGCTCCTGACCAGGGAGGCAGGATTCTGTGAACGTTTGGTCACAAGTAAACATAGATATAATCGCAGTCTGAACAAGACGTTTCTCATAGTTGGAGTGCACTAGCAAAATGACGTTATTTTAGTTTCCCAACCTCGGTTGGGAGTATTTTATCTGGCAATTCCTGACAATCACTGCTCATGTTTAAGAGCATTAAGAAAAAAAGATCAAGTTGGGCAATCCCGATAATTAATTTGTTTATAGTATTTTCATTCTGGAAGGAGAAAAGAATGTTTTACCAGCTGTGTGACTTTGGAAAAATCGCTTGCCCTCTCTGAACCTTATTCCTCCTGTGGTTAAAAGGGCACTGCAGTCAAGGCTAGTTATTGAGTCTAGTGTGGAAGCAATAATTTGTGGATAAAATGCATTTCAGGGCCCCAACATATGCCTGGCATACAAATAAAATGATTAAACAAGTAGCTAATATTTAGCACTTATTACTGGCCAGGTGCTGTACTAAGCCTTTATATTGTGTTTCCTTATTTAATCCTGCCAGTAGTGGTTTCATTATCTCCTCTCTCCAGATGAGGAAACTGATTCACAGAAAGGGCAGGTAGATTCCCGAGGTCAGATAGCTGGTCGTGCAGTGGAGTGGGCTTCAAACCCTGCACCCTGCGTGCCAGGTGGTGATGGAATGAACGAAGGAGGGAACAAATGAAGTCCTGTAGGTTTGCTGACTGTGGCTGGTTGTTGCTTTGAAAAAGGTTGTAAATGTATATTTCCTCCCTGTTCTGTAGAAGCAAGCAGAATGTGCAGAGGCGTCTCAGCCTGTCTAATTGTCCCCACTGCCTTCCCCAGCCCACTGGCTGTGATCTGTGTGCCGCGTCGCCAGGCCATGAGCAGCCCTGCCTCCTTGTGGATTTGCCTGTCACTTGTGTTCCATTTTACATAGCAGGTGTCCACGGCTGGTCATGGCCCGGTGACTCCTGGGGAAGCTGGTTGGTTTTCTTCCTGAGCATCCAGGCCTTGCCAAGATCCTGGCATGGTGTCGACAAAAGGACTTGCTTTCTCTGCTCTTCACCAAAGGCTGGCGAGGACAAGGGGAACTGGGAAGTGGGTGCCGTGTTGACTCTGGTCTGGTTTGTGCATCCTGGCACTGCCCCGCACCTGAGTTGGCCCCCTGGAGAGCAGGAGCAAAGTCAGTGCTGGTCAGTGCCTCTTTGGCCAGCTCAGGAGAGTGGAGTCCTGCTCCCTGTGGGGCTCAGGGGTCTCCTGGGGTGGGGGGTGCATACCTCCCTCCCCAGGTTCCTCCTCTTAGGGAGACAGGGATGCTAAGGAGACCAAGGCTCACACAGTGGTCTTGGGGGATTCTATGAGAACACATTTGCAGGAACAGTGTTACTGTAGCCAGTACATGGGCAGGCACAGGATACTGAACCCAGCTAAGTCCGTGAGAAAAATCCATCCTTTACAGCTGTGCGCAGCCACGCCACACCATTAGGATCTGCTGAGCTGCCTCACGTTGATGCTTAACTGCCTCAGTGTTCAATGGGCATTTTCTTC